TTCAAACCCACCAGCCACTCCTTGGAAGGAAGATGGGGCAATCTACTTCCATAGTGATACTGCCTCGGAAACCCAAGGAGGGGTCACTATGAGTTGGGTCTGACTTGACGGCACATAACAACAACAACATTTATTATCTTAGAGTTTCTGTGGGTCAGAAATCCGAGCATGGCTTAACTAGACCTTCTACTTTAAGATATATCAGGAGATATAATCAAGATACTGGCATAGTCCTATCTCAAAGTTCAACTGGAGCAGACTCTGTTTTCAAGATCACTGAGTAGATGTTGGCAGGATTTGATTCCTCCTGGGCAGTTGAACTGAGGCCCTTGGTTCCTTGTTAGCTGAAGGCTGGAGGCCACCTTCAGTTCCACACCAGGTAGCCCTCTCCATCAAAGCTAGCATTCCAGAAGATCCTTGGAGAGAAAATAGCAAGGTGAAAGTCACAGTATTGTCTAACCTATTCATGGAAATGATTATGAGGGCATTGACATGGGGGACAATGTTGGATCAGTGGTTGAATTCTTAAGCTTCCATATGATAGATCCAGGTTCAGTTCCTGGCCAGTGCATGAGATGTTTGTCAGTAGAGACTTATGTGTTGATATGATGCTGAACAGGCTCCAGTGCAGCTTCCAGACTAAGACTAACTAGGAAGAAAGGCCTGGTGATCTACTTCTGAAAACTAGCCAGTGAAAACTTTATGGATCACAATACTTGGATCCCTAACTGATCATGGCAGCGAAGTGTTCTGTTGTGCCTGGAATTACCATGTGGGGGCTGACTTAGGTAGCAGCCAACTATAACAGCAACAACAGTCATGGAAGCAAAATTCCATCGCTTTTGCCTGTTTTTGTTAGAAGCAAGTAACTGGGTCTAGCCTATGCTCAAGGGAAGATTTTCTACAATGGGATGAATACTAGGAGGCAAGGGTCATTGTGAGCCGTATCAGAAGTTGCCTCCACAAGCAATATTTTTTTTTTTTTTTTATTTTTTATTGGGTTTGGGTAAAAGTGTACAGAGCAAATTCATTTTCCATATCACAGTTCATACACTTTTTGTCTTGTGACATTGACTACAGTTTCCCACAGTGTAACAGCTCTCTTCCCACTTCCTCCCCATAGTTACCTCTTCCCTGTGTCCTTCCCTCCCATGCACTCCTGCCCCCTGAGCTGTCTCCCTGTGCATGCACTGCCCTTCTAGTCCCCTATGATTGATCTCTGCAAGAAGTGTATCTACCTAATGTTACAAGCAATATTTTTAACTCTCAGTAAAGAACTGATTTAAATAAGTGGCATGCCAGGGGATAGGATGGAGGATATTATCTAGTCAGTTATTCAACAAACTGTACTAAGTGCCTTCTTTGTGACAGGCATGGCTATGGATGTTGAGCATATAGCAATGAGGAAGTGATCGACTTTGTCAGATGCAGCTGAGGTGGGCTCAGAAAGATGAGCATTGAGCTGAATGTGTATTTCACTGGTGGTCAGTAAGAGTGGATTTGGCAGTGTGGTATTTTGGGTTGAAAGGCTGATTAGAGTGAGTATAATAGAGAATTTAAGAGCTCTGGTAGCATAGTAACTAAGGCACTTGACTGCTAAC